TTTATCCTATTAATAGTTTCAATCAGATTAAAACAAAATATCTTAAATTATCTTAAATTATCTTAAAATATCTTAAATCTTAAATTTCCAAAGTAATGTCAAAAATTTGTGAAACTAACTCTCTAATTTGAGAAACACTGTTTCTACGGAATGTGCGGCGACTTAGTAAAATGAAAAATTCGCCTCCACTCAAACTAGTTTACGACTTCCATTGCTGATATTGCGGCAAGATTGTGTCAAAGAGGCGAAATGTTAACCAAAGCGGATATTGAAAACTCATAGACTTTCAAGATCGATTTTACATAATGACATTATTTTCGTGGAAAAATCTTAGTATTAAATTTTTGTATGTACAAGCCATCTGCAGTTACATCAAAATCACGTAAAGTTGTAATGACTTTTTAAATCTTATATCTATTAAAATAGGTAAAATAGGTATAATAAATCTAAAACAATTAAAATATTACAATGTGACGTATCAAAAGATAAAGTTCAGATTAAATATACAACAATCTCTCTTGCTCTCTAAATAGTTTCACTATATATTACTCGTGACAATTTGGCCTGTATACTTACCTTGTGCAGCTTGCAAAATTCCACTCTTATAACTAATTTTCGCGAGGAACACGCGAGAGAGAGCTAATCAGAATTCACAAGGAATACGCAAAGGGGAAGTCTGAGTCTCTTAATTGGTGATTCGAGTTCCTCGAAGGAGTGCAATATATACAGAGAAACGCGCGAGGAAGATAGGGTGGCGAACGAGGCCTCTCTAGAGATCACGTTTGCGGAAGTAAAAGCGAACGCGTTCGATATTGCGGCACTTTGCACGTAATACCATTACCAGGGGTGTGCGGTGGTATTCAAACTGCATTCAAGCAATGGAATAGCGACGACGAATGCGCACGGAGAGAGAGGATAATCGCCTTGTGTACGGTTAGTTTTTGATTGGGCCGAGAATGCGACCGTGATAACAAAAGTAAGAACCGAGCTAATTAGAATACGGCGTTCGTGGCGGATTCATTTCACTAATAATGAATGGAGAACGCGAGAATGCGTCGAATGCCGATTGAAAAGAGTCGCGGATTTATTAATGCGGCCGCTTTATTAAGGAACGCTGAAACTTTTCTCTCGACGCGAAATGATGTTTTTCGAGGGAGAAGCGTGAAATTAGTATTCCGATACATGCAAGCGAAGCGAGAAGGTTCATTATGAGAGACAAAAGACGTTTTTGACGTCTTCATTATATTAGGAAGGATATCGCGCAGATATTACTTGCGCAATAACGTAGATTAATTTCAAAGAGCTTTCAATTGAGACATGCAGCGTCTATTAAAATATATATATGATGTATATAAATTTAAAATTATTTGCATTTATCTTGAGATTAAAGAAAGTGATTAGACTTGAAAAAGATTAGAGGTGCAAAGGATTATTAATATAATAAATAATTGAATAATTAATTAATATAATAATTAATATAATATAATATAAATATATTAATTATATTATATTATATTATATTAATATAATAAATAATTAATATCAGATTTTCTGTGAAAAAATTTTCTAGATTATTTTCTGTATATATTGCTTCAATGTTTCAATTACTCCTTTTATTAGCGACTAGCGAGCAGTAATTGTTAGTGACAGGAATATCTTAAAACTTAACAACCGCTGTAACCGCAGAATACGATATCACAAATCATACATATAATACATAACGAGTATCGATTAATTATTCTCGCGCGATTCAACGGCGTATCCGAAGATGAACCGTGGGAATTGGCGCCAATAAAACGTTGCATTGTAAGAACGTTATCGGAAAATCGAGTACTATCTCTTTCATATAGTGCCGTCGTAGCCGCAACTCTACACATATACGTGTATTGTATATATTAATAGCAATAATATCGAGAGAAATCGCTCGTTGCTTTTTACGGAGATATATTAGAAACTTTACGAGTGCAACTAAGAAATGCCGTTCTATATTTATTGTGTTCTATTATTGCTGCTTCTGTTTATGCTGATGTATTTAGGATAGTTGTTGGTCATATATTCTAGGGAAGGAAGAGCCAAAGTGTCCTCCGAGTGCATTTTTTATACTTAAACTAGACAATTCTTTATGGAGATAAAAGTTTCATCATGTCTGTAATCTTATAACGTTGCATTTTTTTATATTTACAAAAAAATATGCGTCATTTATATTGATTCTAACTATCATACAATTTTCAAATAATTAAAAAAATTTAAATTTGAATAAGTAAAAAATCTGCATTTAATATATTCTATTAGTATAAATAAAATTGAATATGACAAATTTTCGTGGCTTCATTCCTCGAAGTATTTAATAGAATTAAATTTTAACCACATGCAGATGAATTAATTAATTTAAAAAATTGTCTAATATTGTAACTGAATAATTGAGGATTATCTATGTTTAAGTTAGTAATTCAGTAATTTAGTAATAAAGATCAACCAATATTTGAGCTTAGTAATTGGAAAATTTAATTTCCATTAATTTTCAACACGCACACTTCTTCGTTAAAATTCAGCTTACGCTTTGGACGATTCGTTTTCATTGAGGTTCCATCACGTCGCTTCCGACAGGTTCTCGTCGGAGCTGCATTTCATCGACGCATAATAAATGGAAAGGCCGCGTTCTTTAACGCGACAGTGAGCTAAACGCTGAACCGTAAATCGTTTCCCACTCTACAGGAAAAGCGTATTTGGTACCATCAAGAGGCTCATAAATCACGATGTGCACACTTGTGAGTTGAAATCGGGAGAAAAAATATATATCGGATGAAGGAAAAATCGTCTGGTCCATCATCGGCCCAATATCGATCATATAAGCCATATGACATTTCAAAGATTGCATTCGAATTAATAATGGATTTTTTAATGGATTAAAATTCCATCCAAAATACGTTATCGGGTATTACAAATATAATCTGTCATAAATCTTTAATTTATCTTCAAATATTCGTCGTACCGTATAATTAATTTAAAGTCGATATTTTTTTAAAAAATGTCAGGCATTACAATTCTTTTCCCATACTACTTTTACAAATAGTCACTTTTGATATACGTATATTATATATTTTTTTATTTCTCTCTCTCTCGATCATCTTGCTTGGTCAATCCTCTCGGTTGGAATCGCGGCCGTTTCGGTCATCGACGGGTCCGTGATAAATGAAGTTAAGGTCGCGACGCCGGCGCCTTGGTTCGATAACGTCCGGCAGTCCGCGCCGATCAAATTTAATTTTGATAAAGAAGATTTATAAATATGGGCTCGCATGCACCGTCGCGGCGGCACAGCACTGGCTTTTATTTTTCCGGAAATACGAAATCCAATTTTCGATAAGACCGGATTACACAGAGACTGCCTGCTCCACTCTTTCTCGCATTCCCCTCCCGACTATTTCTCATATCGCGATCGCGCGGCATCTCTCTGCTGGGTGCACGTTCGAGAACATTATTTTAGAGCGAGAAGCTGGCTTTTTGCCGGATGTGCGAAATTTCTGACCGGCACATTCGGCACGTATCATCTAAGGTTGCTTCGTTACGAGATTACGAAATCGCTTACGCGAATTTTATTATTAAATAAATTAATAAACTTCGAATGTCTAGCTTTATGGAAGATATGAATTAAACTTCAAATAAACTGCAATTTGTATTTACACCCATAAAATCGAAATCATTTTTTTTTACGATTCGAAAATAATAGATTTTATTACATATATGTAGATTTGAGTGTTTGCAAAAAAAGCGTAATTTAATAAATTGGGAATAAAAATCTTTTGGAAAGATACTTTATTTTTATATAAACTAATAAATAAATATTTATATATGATACGGGCCATATACTGAAACTTGTATTGAATGTGTATGAAACACTCGATATCGAGATGTATCAATTATATTATATTATATATATTGCGAGTCTGCGAGAGCATTACAAATATAACGATATTACAAAACTTTTGTAGAGAAAATGCACTTCATTTTCCGATAATACAACACGTATGCAACATTTTAATTAAAACATTGGACAAACAATTGTTGATACATGTAAATAAAACAATTGCATAGTAAGTTAGTACTGAAATGAAATATGCTCCAGCATTTTCTACTTTATTTACAATAGCCTTGAATTGATTTTGGTAAAAATCATGCTATCGATGAAACTAAATCCTTAATAATTTTAATAGGTTGCGAAATAATTGATTTTAATATTATTTTTAATTTTGAATTTATAATATTATTTTTATTTTTTTTTACAATTTTTCGATACTAATTTCGCAAGGATATGTTTGTCAACTGCATAAATCCATTATAATTATTTTTATCGAATTTATATGACAAAAAATAAAAGTTTTAAAAATTTCAATATTTTTTCATATATTAATATGATATATAATTTTCTCGAATTAAAAATATATAAATATATAATAAAAATATATATAAATAAAAAAATAAAATAAAAATTTTAGTTCAACATTTTACGCAGTAATAATTTTTGAATTTTATAAAATCGTTATAATTCTGAAAATCATCATTCAGTATTTTTTAGATTAATATTTACAAACAGTTGGCATTATTTGATTAATAATAATGATCATGTACATATTGGATGTACAGTTCGAACACGATTCTTTGTGATGTACGGAAGAATGATATATCTTAAATATTTATATATATATTTATTTCAATATGTATAGTATAAAATATAATGAAAGCGGATCTGAAATTAAAAATTTTCAATAAATATACAACTCATTTAATATTTTAATAATCAGACTTCATTATTTCGCCCATAATTTTCAAACTTTTTTCCAAGTTTTATCTTAATAATAATTTTTATTAACCTCATCATCAAAAATAAGTTGATTTAATTTTTTTATTATGATAAAACACATCAAAATTATAATGCCGAATTTATGTATAATTATTATTCTATTATAATTTTACTAACGCTTTTATTGATATTATCTTTGCAGGATCTCATGACGAAGAACAAACAGCGGTATCGATGGCGTTTGCTGATCTGCGGCATCGTCATCATAGTCGTGCTTGCCCTGGTGATCGCCGCGGCGATCCTCTTGACCGGTAGCCCGAATTCGACTACGTCGAGGACGAATGGCGCACCCGGCATATCCCTGGAGGAATGGCTCTCCGGTTCGTTGTCCCCCAAAAGCTTCAATGGCACGTGGATCAGCGGTAAGTGCTGCACTTACGTTCTCTTGGCGCGCATGCGAAAAAAAAGCTGCGAAAATATGCTCGCTACCGATTTTTTATTCTGGCCGGAAATCTAATTTTCGAAACGAACTTCTCCCTCGAGACGCGACGACAATTTACCTGTGAACATTCGATTTTTAAAAAACATAAATTTAACAAGAGCAAAAAAAAATTTAATCATAAAAGAATTAATCATTTATAATGTAAAAAAAAGAAAATTTTAAATATAGATTTTAGAATATCTTTAAAAATGACAAAGTTACCCCTTATGCGATTCTTCATATTCCATACTTTTCGTATCCCCGTGAGGATACAAATGAAACGGAAGGCAGTACAAACGGGTACAAACGATTAGGAAATAGCACCTGCTTTCAGATTTTGAATATCTCTAAAAATGACAAAGTTGCCTCTTATCTCTCTAAAAATGACAAAGTTGCTGATTTTTTGATTTTCTATATTTCTATTCCCGTGAGGGTACAAACGGATTCAAACGATGCTTAATCGAATGCTTTTATTACATTTATGTTTTTTAAAAGTCGGGTGCCAAGTTCACACACTGAAAAAATTGTATTCTCAACTTAAGAATACAATTTTTTCAATGCACAGATCGACAATTTCCCGAAAGCTCATGGCGATTGATTATTTAATAAGATTGAAACGCGTTACGCGAATAATACGAGGTTTAATTGCGTTGAATGTGTACAAAAGCTTGCTTTTAATGGACATTGCTATTTTAAATGAATTTATTTTTCGGAAGAAAATACATATACATGTATTAAAAAATCTCTAGATTAAATTCTGAGTTTTGATATGAAATTTTAAAACTAAAAGTACTAGAGGTATTGAAATATGGGTGCATTAAGTCTTTTAGTTTAAGAAAATATTTCTGACGATTTAATATAAATTGCGATTATTTTAATATAATATATACGTAATATGTTTCATATTAAATTAATAATTTTTTTTACCATTATAAATGATTAATGTTTTTATGATTGAATTTTTTTTTGGTGATACTTAATGGCTGGCTGGAAGGAAAAAGAAAAAGAAAAGAATTTGAAACTATTTTTTTATTTCACGTTTTCTCTATCTGTTAAAAATTTTATGCATGTTGTGCATTTTTAAGATTTTTAAACGCGGTCACTGCTTTTTTAAATCAGCAGTGATAACAATTTACAATTCATGAACGGTAGCTTCACGTCGAGAAAACACCGCTTAAATGAGTTTCGAACGTAAAAAACTCGTTTGCCAATACGTTAACGTCGGTTATTGTGTTTCGTGGCGTACGCGAATCTTTTTCGAGCATCGCCCCCGGTGAGTTGTTTTTGCCCGGCTTCGGCATGCGCGCGATTTTCCCCGTTTTGCTCGTATAATAAAATTATCATACGCCATAAATCTCGCATGTGAGACAAAAGTCGCTCGGGTCTTTCCGCGAGAATGAAATGTCAAATTATATCACGAACGTATGTCAGAGTTTGTCGGCTTCTCTCTCTCTCTCTCTCTCTCTTCCTCCCCGCCCTCCGCGCATACCGTATTATATAACATCAAAAGAGAATAATAAATGATTCACGCGACGCGGGAGGATCGCACAAAAGCGGATACGGACGCGTCGGCGAATATTTATATGATATTTTTCTCCCTTTTTGCCGAGTGAATGGCGGTGTCGGCGCTTCGCGGCCGGCCCCTCGTGAAGCGCGTGTGAAGTTCAAACTAATTTTATATTTGAGGCGGCGCGTTGGCCATTCTACTTCATTCGCGGATCCATTTGTCTTTGTTACGGCACGACCGCCGACACCGCTGTCGGCCTATAAATCCTTTCGTCAGGTCGGGAACAAAAGACGGGTTTTAATGGATTTACGCGGGCGCGAGCGCGGCCACCAGTATCTTCCCGCTATCGTTTAATTCTTTTTGCTCGAAAACGCGTCACGAGCCCCACGTAATACAGCCCATCCCTTCGCGGACGTGCGGGAGTAATTCCGACTGCGAGCGGAAATCCAAGCGGGGATATTTCGCCGCTTTCGGGGATCGAAATTAAACGTCCGTCGTCCAAAATTGTCGCGCGAGCGCGTTTTTTATTCGGATTCGCGTCGACCGATGAAAGCAATCCGCGAATGAGTCGAGCTAATAAAGTACAAATTCAATAAAGTATAGTACTCTCGCGTTTTTGTAGTATATATTTTAATATGTATATATATTATAGGAAATGCTTATAGAAATGAAATCATCCTCAGTCATTAACCACCACCCAAAAAAATTCAATCATAAAAATATTAATCATTTCTAATGGTAAAATTATTAATTTAATAAGAAACATATTACGTATATAGTAATCGTATATTACACATAAAATAATAATAATACGTATAATAATCGTATATTATGTATGATGTTTTTTTCACGCTAAAATACACGTTTTATCTAGAAAGAGCAAATAACTGGATGCACTAGTAACACAATAGAGTTATTGTTGTATCTGAAATGGAGATCAGTGTTAAGCCGTACTCTCTCAGTAGTTCTCCTAATGATGATAAAGTTCCGCGCATTCGTAGTGATCACAGGAAATAGCAAAATATGTTTCCACATATACAGCTCGAAATACATCTTTCGATCAATATAATTACTGCAACGCATGAAAGTACCGCTCAATCTAGAAGCTCACGTTCTCTTTTTGCGGTTCTCTTCTCTTTTGTAGCTCGCGATAGAATAAAACGCTTCTTAAAAAGTAACGAGATCGAATCTATGCCAAGGAATCAGGGAAACGTAAAGCGTATTAATGGCGTCTGTCGGAAATTCTCCTTTACCATCCGAAATCTTCTTTACTGTAACATGTTATTTTGTATCCTCCTCTTAATTCGTTTTTCTGTTTGATAATAAAAATTAAACTCGTGTCGATTGTAATTAATAAATTAATCTTATTTAATGAATAAGATTATTGCAATTTGACGCACAGAAAATCATTTTTTTTGCCGATGAAAAATTTCACAGTATATTTTTTGTTAATTAAAAACTAAGATTAAAAATATAGAATTTTGTATGAATTAAATTTTACTCATATAGATAGGATTCAATTAATATTTTAATCAATTAAAAATGGTATATAATAATGAATTCTATTCTACTAGAAATTCTAGAATTATTATCACGTGTACTCGAATGCGAGCAAAATTTTATCAAAATTTAAATTTATTGAGAATTTACTAATAAAGAACGTAAAATGAAATTATTAATTCTCACAATATTTGCAACAAAATAATCTGTCGCGTTTGTCATATCTTTTCGTATTATACATATATTTTCTGCATAAAATGCATATTATGTGAGTTTTAGAGATTTGCTCATTTTCGGTTATTTGAAAGTTAAAATATTTCCAATATATGCTTCGCATATTAATTGGAACTATCAATTTTGTGTCACACATCCCTTCGTTCTCACTCGACATGACGTGATATGATATAATAAAATCATATTTAATAGATATATTTTTTTGACAAAGACAAAATGCTTTGGATCACATTCATATCCATATTATAAACAAAAATGAGCTGAAATACATTTAGGCATTGTTATGCCAGAGAAGAATGATAAAAACAGAAGAAATGGAAACAAAAAATTCTAGTAAAATAGAATTCAGTATTATACCATTTTTAATTAATTAAAATAATTGAAATCTATGTATGTCTATAAAATTCAATTCTTACGCAAAATTCCATTTTCAATCTTAACTTTTAACCACGAAACTCTACTTTTGTATATCGGTCTATTCCCTTTTATGAGCTGAAATATTCATAAATAAAAGGAAATTCAAGGAACATCTGAAAGAAGATGAACATCTGAAGATGTCTATGTGCATTTTAAATTTAATATTTAAATATTAAATAAACCAAAAGTCATCGACATACATTATTTGAAAAATACTAGGTCATTGTGTAAGTAAAGTAAAATTGCAAGCGATCTGTTTCTGTTTTTGGTTTCAGTAATATGAATAGTCTTTTCACTCCTAAGTCTTTCAGATCCCCGGCCAAATTAATCAAATTTAAAACTCCTTTTGATATTTTTTTTTGTATCATGTGTGTATCATCACCTATAATTTTTATACTCATTATCATATGCGATCCGGATGATCTATAAAGCAAATCAAACTCGTTACATTTTTCAATATCATTTATATATTGTTATTATTTTAAGGGAAAAAATTTTTTACTATTAATCATTTTTATCTCATGTATTTTTGGTTGTGAATCTAAGAGGTCGTATATGTTCTTCATTATATATCTCTAAAATACTTGGTTTTACTATATATTTCCATCCAAATGTCATTGATCTTTTGCAAAACATTTATGTAACTCCTCTGGATTTTCAATATTTTTTATATTTAAATTTGTTACATATATATCTTGATTTTTACTATTAATCATTTTTATTTCATGTGTTTTTGATTTTGAATCTAAGAGGTCGTATGTTTTCATATATATGTATCTTATACCAAGAATCTCGAGTTGATTTGTTTTCGTAAATATATACGCTATCTAGAATATGTACATACAAATAAGATTCTCATAGTTGCAAATTATATGCCTTCCGAGAGAGGAGCAAGCGTACAATTTTTCGGTAACTCTTTTGGAGTGCCAAATTCTCATGCAAAACATAAAAGCATCAGTATCTTACAATTAGAAAAATTTTTCATTTGATAAGATTTCATTTGGGGGAGACATATAATGATATTAATTCTAAACTATACTTTGTTTTCGTGATAAAATTAACAAATTATTAAATATATATTTCAATATATTTATTACGAAAAGATCAAGATTCTAGATTGATTTAAAAAAGTCTTTTAAGCAGTTTAGTCTTTGAGAGACTTATAAATAAATTTAAGGGCGAAAACACCGCTATTAGGGGCTATTAGCGCATTTCGTACGTTGCGAAGACGAGAGCGAAAAAAATCGGGATTCCAAAAAGGACAGCGCTATTAGATGGTTTGC